ACGCATTTGCAGAGGAACTGGGAAGTGCCTCCCCCCCCCCCCAGTTTTGACAGGACTTGAAAAAGCATTATTTTCTCCCTACCGTGTTTACTCTCAGCTCCTCGTCAGGTTTAGCCAAATGGTATTCTCCATGTGCTGATAATACTTACACAAAATAAGATTCCAATCGCTTCCAAATCCTTGTTAAATGAAAAGGTGCCCAAGACACACACTTTTGAGCACCTTTCACTTACTGTTTGCGTTGTAATAAATGTGTGATAAATGGTAAACAGAGAGAATGAAGTGATTCACGTGACATATTATAGAAGAGAGAGGTAATCTGGGAAAGCTTCGTGGAAGAAGCAGTATTTGAATTAGGTCTTTAAGAATAAGTACAGGGGGTCTGGGGTTGTGTGTGGCTCAGCAGTAGAGTGCTCGCCTAGCTTGTGTGAGGCCCTGAGTTTGATCCTCAGCACCACATAAAAATAAATAAATAAAATAAAGGTATTGTGTTCAACTACAACTAAAAAATAAATATTTAAAAAATGAGTAGAAATAGTTAATGTGTGTGTGTATGTATGTGTGTGTGTGTGTTAAAAAACATATGTACCCATAATTTTTTTTGTACTAGGGATTGAACTCAGGCATACTTAACCATGGAGTTACATACATCCCTAGCCCTTTTTATTTTTATTTTGAGACAGGATTTCAATAAATTGCTTAGGCCTTGCTGAGATTGGCCTCGAATTTGTGATCCTCCTGCTTCAGCCTCCCTAGTCACTAGGATTACAGGCATGCACCACTGCACCCTGCTCCACAAATACATTTTTTTAAACAATCACTTGCACATTGGCGATTGCCCTTTCAGAGTCCTGTAGCTACGCTATGTAGAAACTAAGCCAGCTGGGGGGGTCACAAGGAGAAATGCCAAGGGACCCCTGCCCACATTCCAGTCACAGAAGTGATGCCATCTTACTCCTTCCAACCATTCTGGCTGCCCTCAGGTGAAAGCCCAGAAAAGACATGCAGGAGAAATACCATCACCACAGCATCCTGAGAAATAATAAATGGTTATTTTAAGCCACTTTTAAAAGATAATTAGGTGTTTCCTGAGTGGACAGGGCAGGGTCATTGAGGCTTGAGCAGAGTGTGAAGGAAGGAAATGCATGAAGGGACCCTACCCTCGCTGCCCATTGGCAGCTGGGCCACAGGCGCTGGCGGTTCTGGAACACTTGTGGTATATCAGGGTTTGTTGGAAGTAGCCTCTGTGTATTGGCTCACAGAAGCCTCACAACAACCTTGATGAGGAAATGGAGGCCCAGAGGCAGGTAGTTTGTTGAAGTCCATAGAACTTCTGCCCATTGTCTCCCATCTAGTCCTGAGAACCAGAAAGAAGGGAATGTCCACCCGCTAATGTGACTTCCTTTCCCAGCTGGAGATGAAGTCTGTGAAGCCTGGCCGTCACAGGAAGGCTCTCATGCCCGTTGGAGTCCCCCCGCCTGCCCTGGCCCAGCACCATCCCTGTGCATCACAGTGTTATGTTTCTGTACGTGTTCGCTCTCTGGTCCCAGCACTGTGCACCCCTGGGTCTGGGAAAGAGGTCAATGTGTGCTTTGCTCTCAGCCCCCTTCCACACCCGGATACGACTCTCCTGGTCTCCTGCCGCCTCCTTGGCTTCTCCTCTCCTCATCTACCTGCCCAGCGCTGTTCCTCAGGTGCAGAGCAGGCGGGAACAGTAAGAGCCAAGACACCAGGGCTGACGCAAACTTCACAGCTCAGCCAACAGCCTTTATTCAGGAATGGAATCGTGGTTCTGATGGACCCACTCTCCGGTGGGAAATGAGCCACTGAACAAAGGAGGTGATTTAGTGAGCGTGTCAGTCTGGGTACTCGGGAATTTGGGTCTCTGGGTTGGGAGTCTGTGGCCAGCACCTGGAGAGGTTTTATCTTAGAAGAGATTAGTGCTTCCTAGAGACTATCATTCTAGTTTTGATAAAACACTTTCTGAACCCCGCCTTCGGCCAGCATCTGGGAAGGATTTATCTTGGGAGAGCTGGAAGCTATCAAAGTATGGCTTTCTTTTTCATTCCCTTACCCAGCCCACAGGATCTTGGGGTTTTTCATTTTTCATATCCAATAGGAAGCCCATCTGGTTTCCTCTTCACTTGCTTCTGTCCATGATCCTGGGAGCTATTGAAGTTCACAAGCCTCTCAGCTCCTCAACTGTTTCATTTTCAATGATTTTCCCCGCCATTCCCCTGGAGTGGCGAGCCCACTCCCACCAGTCTCTTCACTTGAAGATCTTCATTAAGACATCAGTCTCTGAAGACACCTCTGTCTTGTCTTGCTCTGTCCGTGACGTCCATCACATATTTTGAGACCTTTGAGGTCAATGATACCAGCCTTTCTGGAATTCTCTTCCCTATCCAGCACACATTGGTGGTCCTTTGTATTAAAGCACTCTTAAAAGATGAGATCTAACATGCCTTGACCTGTCCAGCAACAATCCTTCCTTGGATTAATTCAGTTTCTCACTCTGTGCGTGCCTGTGTCTTGATTGTTCAAATTAGCAAGAGAAAAATCACAGGAACTATCATATTAACACTACCAGAACTACCATAAGTTCACAGTTTCCACTATCAGCTGGGTCCTCAATACTGTCCTTGCAACAGTACCATATTTTCCTGCACATCAATTTGCCATAGTAACTATTTCAAACCCATAGCTGAACTTGACTATGAACTCTTTTAGGGCAGGATTCCTGTCTGGCTTTTGTGTAACTGAATTTCCAGTGCCGAAGACAGGCTTAATACATAATAAGCATTCAATAAATATCTGTATACTGGGTGCAGTGGTGCACACCTGTAATCCCAGCTGTTTGGGAGCTGAGGCAGTGGAATCCCAGGGGAATCCAAATTTGAGGCCAATCCCTGCAACTTAATGAGAACCTGTCTCAGAATAAAAAATAAAAAGGGCTAAGTGATAGAGGCCCACTGGGTTCAATCCCCTCCCCCCCCAAAAATCTGTGTACTGACCAAGGTATAGGAATAGAGGCAAATGTTCACCACAGGCTAGGTTCTCTTCTATGTGAGTTGTATGTATTAGCTCATGCAATCCCAACAACTCAAAGAGGTTAGATGGGGCTTTTGCCATTCTCATTTTACACAAAAGGAGAGGCAATTTGGAGAGAGGAAGTCATAAGACCGGAAGCAGCAGAGTGGGTATTCAATCTTCAGAACATATAAATCCTTAGCATTCCAGTGATTTCTGTTTCAGACAAGTTGAGTTTTTTGTGCCTGAGGGACATGCAGCTGGGCTTCAGACTGGAGCTTAAGAGAGATGTGAAAATGGAAAGGAAGATCTAGGAAAGGGTCAGGTGGTGTAGCTCAGTGGTAGAGCATGTGCTGAGCATTCCAGAGGTTCAACCCCCACTACTAGAAAAAGTACACGGTTTCTGCCATTGACTCCCAGAGGGCAGATAAACTGACTGACACCTCAGAAAATGGAACATCTGACCTTTGTTCACACCTGTTCCTTTTGCAGAGTGCCTCCAACAGGTCCCTGTTAGAGTTGTGTGGTGGTGGTGTGTGTGTGTGTGTGTGTGTGGGTAAGTGTGCACCTGGAAGGCTTTCCTTTCCCCAATTTGTGATGACACCTGTATTTTTATTTATTTTTTGGTATCTAGGTTTGAATTCAGGGGCACTTAACCCACTGAGCCACATCCTCAGCCCTTTTTTGTATTTAGAGACAGGGTCTCACTGAGTTGCTTAGTGCCCTGCTAAGTTCTTGAGATCCTCTTGCCTCAGTCTCCCGAGATGCTGGGATTACAGGCGTGCCCCATCATGCCCAGCTATTATATATTCGAACACACGGGATGATTCATGATGTATTACTTAGTGACTTTTAAATTGAGTAGGGGTCCCCCAGGGTTGAAATTCAACATTTCTTTTTCCTTTTGTTAAGTTGATAAGTGTATTTTTTTTTTTTTTTGGTGGTGATATTGGGAATTGAACCTAGAGGCACTCTACCATTGAGTTGCATTCCTAAGTCTTTTATTTCTTTATTTATCTATTTTACTTTTTAAAATTTTCTTTAAAGTCTATGGACATAATACTTTTATTGGATTTATTTACTCCAGCGCCTTACACGTGCTAGGCGAGCGCTCTCCTACTGAGCTACAACCCCAGCCCTATCTATTTTATTTTGAGACAGGGTCTCCCTAAATTGCCCAGGCTGACCTTGAACTCGCGATTCCCTGCCTCAGCCTCCCAGGTCGCTGGGATTACAGGCGTGCGCCACCGCGCCCAGCTGCTAAATACATTTTTTGAGAAACTTCCCAGACCATTTCTCAGATAGAACACTATCATTGCATTGCTTAAGGCCCCTTTCCCCCTTCACCACGGTTTCTGACATTGACTCCCAGAGGGCAGAGAGAGATTGAGAAATGGGAGCATCTGATCCGCGTTAGTCCTCTTAGATCTCCTCGAAACCTCATAAGATTATTATCATCTGCACTTGAAAGAAAAAAGAAATAGCTTCTTATTTGGCAGTGTGTTGAGTGTTTCTGAAGCATCCTCCCATTCGATTTTCACAGTATGCTCTGGAGGTGGAACTACTGTTAGAGGTGGGCTCCGAGAGGGGAGGTGTGGTGGCCTAGGACACGCAGCAGGTTAAGAGTTGGCTTTTGAACCCAGGTCTTTCGGATAATAGAGGCTAAACTGTCTCATCGCTCATTTACGGACAACTGAGGACTTTTCTCCGTGGAAGTGGGGAGAAAGAATATTTGACAGAGAACCCTAACGTTGATATCTGTTTAAGGATGGTGCGGGCACCCGCATTCTTAGCAGGAAACCCGCGTCAATCGCTGGCCCAGGCCTTCTCCCGCCCCGGGGCAGCGGCGCACATGCGCGGGGCCTCCCGCTTGGCCCCGCCTCCCGGGAGGGCGCTGCTCCACGTTCTCGGCTCTGGGGCTTGCGCACTGCGTCCCCAGCCAGAGGATCCTTCCCGGTCAGGGACTTCCGGTGCGCCGGGGTGCGGTTCCGGGTCGTGGCGCGGCTCAGGGCAACAGGGCTGCTGCTCGGCCGGCCGGCGGCGGCGAGCAGCAGGGGCATGAGGGAAAGCCCGGGAAGCGGCAGCTGAGCGGGCCGGTAGGAGTGCCGGTCCTGAGGATCCCGAGAGTGCAGAGTTCGGGGCAGGGGCCGGGAGGCGTGGGGAAGCCGGGCCCTCCCCTCAGGAACGTGCCCCGGGGCCGACCCGGCCCGTAGTGTGGAATCAGCTTCAGGTAAAGGTTGCCCCAGCCGCTAGCGCCCTTGCTCGCCCGCCAGCCAGCCAGCCAGCTTGCCCACGCGCGGGACCTGGCGGCCCACTCACTCCGCCTCTCGGCGCTGCCCGGCGGGCCGTCTGTCAGCCCTTGCTCTGGTGGCCTGGGAGCATCCGTTTCCTGGCCCTTCCCCTAAGTCGAGGCTGCCCTGAGGCTGCCCTGAGCCTGCCAGCCGGGCGTGTGATTTAGGGGAGAAGCTGGAGGACAGGTAGTGTCGGGGCGGGGGCGTGTGTGCAGTTGGCTCCAACATTCGGCAACATCTAGGTGCCCTGGTGTTCATGCGGTGAAATCCAGTTTTTAAGGCATTGCCTGTGTAGTGCCTGTTTCCTAGTGCCCCTCCTCCCACCTACAAGGGACAAACAGTCTGCAGACTTTTTCCTCCCTGAAGTGCCGCTCGAGCTTGAGTTCACTTTTCTGGTTTGTGGGAGTGGCAAGAAGTGTTTAAGTGTGGAGGAAAGAAAAAAATATATAGCTTCAACAGCTTAACTTTAACTAAATTCCCAAATTGGCTCTGAAATAGGTAAAAACTTCAATCTGAATGAATGCAAGTTATTTTGGAAGCCATCTGGCATTGTGCAAAACACCACATTGTAAACCAAAAGAAGCAAAGTTGAAAACTTTTTTTTTTTGAATGGTCAAACGGACAGGCACATTGAAGACAACATTCTTCTTATTTTGACAATCCCAAAGGGTGGATCCCTGATGGTAAAACCTATTAGCGTAGAAAAAGAATAGTTTTTATTCCTCATGTTCTGTGATCCCACACAAGGTGCTTAGTAAATACAGAAAGAGTTCTCCATAAATTCGTACTTGTTTTTTTCTTTTCCAGCGTACACACCTACAGGCTTCCTGGGTCTGTGGGGGACTTTTTCCATTCATCTGTGTGCTCATACTTAACTACTGTGTGTGCCAGGTTGCACTCACATTCCTCTACACTCCTGATCTGGCTCTTGGCTTTCTTTCCAGTTAGGCCTGAAAAGATCCCCAATATAATCCATTACTGTAGACTCTCAAATCACCTTTGTTTTTTCCTGTGTCATTTGTTTTTGCTGGGACATTCTCCCTGCTCTGCCTAGAAGCTTTTCTGTTTTCTGTTTCTACTTATTGAGATGCTATCCATGGCCTGGTTGAAGTTGGCCTCCTTCAGTCAATTTGGACAGCCCCAGGTGGAAGTATTTCTCATTTAGAATCCCATAATCACTACTTATTCACAATTATTTCATTTAACAAATATTTACTGAGAAAGTATGGCAGTAGTAGTAGGCAATTTAAAGAAGACTCAGCTTTGTGCACAGGAAACTCAATTTAATGAGAAAGGGAAGGAAATTAGTAATTCCAACAGTGATAAATATACAGTGTGAAAGTTCCTTTTGTGTTATGGTAGTGTAGAATGTTAACTTCTGTGAGGTGGGATATGGCTAAGGAATGCTCCAGAATGTGAGATAAACTCAGTATCTGTTACATATCGCATATAAGTTTTTCTTGTTTAATCATTTTAACCTCAATTTACAGAATAGGAGGACTCAGGACAAATCACACAGATGCTATGAGACAGGCAGTATTCACACCTAGGTCTGTTTGATGCCTAGACCTGTGCTTTTCCCATTACCTGTCTTCTTTCTCACACCATACCTCTCTGTGCAAGTACCTATTGAAGCAACTGATCAGGAGGAAAATATGAGTGTTTAAATGAATGGTACTGAAAATTCTTTTTATTCCCTTTTATTTATTTTTATGTGGTGCTGATGATTGAACCCAGTTCCCTACACATGCTAGGCAAGTGTTTTACCACTGAGTTACAACCCCAGCCCTGAGAATTCTTTAAAGGTAAATAAGACTAATCTTCCAAGGCAAAGAGACCATACCTGGGCCAGTTCAATTTTGAATATGAGCAAGGAAAACAGTTTGTAGAGAATAAGCATGGACTTCTGGTTCCATTCCTGATCTTTTTACTATGTATATGAACTTTGGCAAATTTCTTTAAGTATCATTTTCCTCATCCAGGGGTTCAAATAGAGGACAATATTGACCTCAAGAAACACTGTGAATATTTAATAAGCTAGTTCATATAAAGAGCCTGTCAAAGTTTCAACATTCCTCATCCAAAATCCAAAATGCTCCAAAATCTGAAACTTTTAAAGCTGCAGTTTTGAAGTATTTCAGATTTTGGACTTTTGAATTAGCAATGCTCATTCATGAAGTCTATACAGATGAGATGCAGTTTTGGAGCATTTCAGATTTTGGACTTTTGAATTAGCAATGCTCACCCATGAAGTTTATACAGATATACCAATATCTGGAAAAAATCTACACTCTGAAACGCTTCTCATCTCAAACATTTGAATAAGGGATTCTCAACCCATATATGATAAGTTACCTCCAAAATAACAGCTGTAAGATGCAAAGATATAATGCATGTGATGTGATTTTATAGTGGTGAATGAGTTTCTAGCCCAAGTAAAGCAAGCTGTTACTTCTTTTTGCAGGCTGGAGATCAAATTGGGGTCAGGGTCAGTGAGGGCTAGAGTGCCAGGCAATATAGGTAAATTTCAGTCTCATAAGTTTTCCAGTTAATATTTACTTTGAGGATTTATGATTGATTCAACAGCTCCAGGCAAAATATTAGACTCTGGAGATACAAAGTGGAATAAAACTGGTTACTACCCTGAGATTGTTGACATTCCATTGGGGAAGTCGTGTACGCAGATGAACTAGTAAAGTACTATAGATAATAAGGTAGAGTTCCTGTGGGGTACTGTGGAACCTGGAGAAAGAAACACTGATAACGAGTTAGCTAACAAGTACTTACTGTGTGTTGGCATTGTGTTAAATATTTTATCTCATTTATTCCTACATGGAAAGGAATTATTAGTATACTAGAGAAACTGGGGCACAAAGAGGTTAACTTCCTTGAGGGGTAGGGATGTAGCTTAGTGGTAGAATGTGTGCTAGACATGTATAAGGCTCTAAGTTTGATCCCCTGTACCCAAAAGCCAAAGAACAAAACCCTTGTTTATACAGCTGGTGGTACTGAGCTAGAGGCATTGCTTGCTGTATTATGGACTGTCTCTTCTATGGGACTGCACTATGTTGCTCTTCTTTGTGATGTGGAGGGATATCCTCTGGAGAGGTCTCAGAGGAGCCAGCCCTTGAGCCCTAGCTTTAGTGAGCCAGTTGCTGCTTGGCAGTAGGTATAATGAGGAGTGGAAGTGGCCTTGGCACTGAATAAATTCATCTAATATGTCACTTCAAATATATTTCTTTTTGGTGGTAAAGGTGGGGGGCTTCTTAATTCTGAAAAGTTGTAGTTCAGTGGATTTGTATGATTCATGCTGAGAGTTTGCTGGAAATCTGTTATTGTGATATATAAGCTTTATTGTTAAGTATATAGCAAGAGATATCAGATTACCGTACGACAAGGAATTCTTTCACATTTTTCCCAGTTGAAAATACCCCAACATCATGTTTTCTGTGAAGTTTAAAGTTTTTGAGAAGTTTTGATTCACAAGTTAACACATTTCAGGATCTTGTGTGGCGTTTATAATGATTGGGCCTGATATTATCTTTCTGTTGCTATAATAAAGTAACCTGGGGGGAAAACTTAGAGGTGGAAAGATTCATTTTGGCTCTTGATTTCAGAGGTTTCAGTCTCTCAGCTGGCTCCATTGTTTCTGGGTCTGTGGTAAGGCAGCACATCTTGGGGAAAGGTGCAGTGGAGTGAAGCTGCTCTTCCCATGGCAGCCAGGAAGCAGAAAAGGAGAAAAAAGAAGGCGCCTGGGACAAGAGACAGTCAAGGGAATGCCATGTAGGACCCACTCCCTTCAACTATGTACCACTTCCTACAGTTTCCACTACTTCCCAGATAGTTCATTCATCTATGAATCCATCAGTAAATTAATCCATTAATGAGGTTATAGCCCTCATGATCCTATCACTTCCCAAAAGCTCCACCTCTGAACATTGCTGCACTCAACATGTGAGCCCCTGGGACATTTCAGATCTAAACTACTCAGGCGTTTGTATTTCAGTCATTGTTGAATGCTTTTTTTATGCCTTATTTCCCTTAATATCATAATTTTGTGAGGTAGGTGATATTATCCCCATTTAACATGAGTAGCTCAGGGCTTAGGGGCTGTTACCCAGAAGTCACACTCAAGTGTGTGGATAAGAGAAATAACTGGCCAAAAAGTAAACAAGTATTTATTAACTTAGTTTTCTTTTGAACATCTTCCTCTGGAGTCTCCGAAGTCCTGTATCCATTATGGATTATAATGAGTAGGGTGGGACTTGGTGAACTGGAGAGCATATACCCAGCTGAGAGGTATCCAAGTGTGGTGGTGTGCATTGTCCCAAGTATTTGGAAAGATGAGGGAGGAACTCCAGTTGCTTATTGCCATGTGAATAAGTAGGCCCAGTTTCCTAGGTTTTCTGATTTCTTTTTTTTGAAAGATGCTAGAAATCTGGATTTTATATTTTATTTATTTTATTTTTTGAGGAGTACTAGGGATTGAACCCAGAGGAACTTAACCACTGAGCCAGACCCAGCCCTTTTTATGTTTTGAGACAGGGTTTTGCTGAAGTTTTTAGGGCCTTGCTAAATTGTTGAGGTTGGCTTTGACCTTGCGATCTTCCTTCCTCAACCTGCCTAACTACTGGGTTTATGGGCATGCGCCACTGTGCCTAGACGAAATCTGGATTTTAATGTACTTAGTTTAAAAATTTGCCAGTTAAATGATTGGGCATGATATTATCTTTCTGTTGCTATAATAAAATAACCTGAGGGGAAAAACTTAAGAGGTGGAAAGATTCAACCATAACACATTTGTAGGCTGTGTACAATTGTAGGCTGCCTGATTATAAACTCTTGATCTACTTGGCTGCTGAAATTTGATTTTTTTTTATTATCATTTTGCAGAAGAGGGGATTAAACCCAGAGTGCTCTACCAACTTGGCTACATCCC